TTGTTTTTTTTCTATCCCAACTCTATTAAAAAATAAAACTAATCCCTCCACAACCCTTCCGTATCCCTTCAATCACGATGGCGCCAACTCCTAGCTTCTCCTTGCTTTACATAGCCTAGGATCTCTTTCTTACACAATCTGTGAAAATGGTTGCAGTTCTTGGAGATGAGGTGATAAGTGTCTCCAAAATATTTGGAAGCCATACCCTTTGTGAAAGTCTTGAACTCTATAGTAGATGTGTCAATTAGGCAGGTTCGGGTTGGGTTCAATTGGGTTATGGGTTAGTTGAGTTTTGGGTTGCGGGTCCGTCGGGTTCGGGTTTGTCAGGTTTTGGGTCATTCGGGTTGTAGGTTAGTCGGGTTACGGGCTAGTCGGGTTCCGGGTTAGTCGGGTTACGAGTCAATCGGATTAAGGGTGAATCGGGTTGCGGGTCGGTTGGGTTGTGGGCGGTTCGGTTGCGGGTTTTTGGGTCAGCACATCGAGTTGCTTACTCCCTACTCGAATCTGCAATTTTCACATTTTATAAACCTAGTTTTAAAAAGTTATAATTTTTAGTCTATTTTTTTCACATCGTATATGTAATATCTTATATGTATTTATAAAAGTTAAAAAAATAGTGAATCATATTTTATGACTTACAAATTTGTCACGTAATTGAATAAAGTAGACCTGGCAATCGGGTCGGGTTGGGTAATTTTGGGTTGGGAACTTCGGTTATGGGTCGGGTCATGTTTGGTTGGCTTATTTCGGGTCAAATATTGACCCAACCCATTCGGTTTCGGGTCGGGTTACAGGTCATTTCGGGTTATGAGCGTTCTCAGAAACAATATCAAACATGCTTCATATTTTCTTAAAGAACACAAATTTTCACATATGCATGAAAATAGTTTACCTAACACATGTCAATTAACATATTCTCAAATCCTCCCACGCTAATGAAATGAAATATAAATTGCGCAAATCGTAAAAAAAAAATCACAAGAGTAATAATACTACAAGAAACACATGATATTTGATTATCCTTAAACTCCAAACATATCATTCAATCCTTGTAATTTTTTTTAAACATCTTACCAATTTATGAGTGATTTTATCATATTTGGGAGTAATATATTAAATGGAACGGGTTTAACAGGTCGACCCGCTAACCCACCCGACCCAAAAAAATCACGGGTTATCAGGTTCGGGTCATTCGGATTTTGGGTTATAAAAAATTCTAGTATTCGGGCGGTTTCGGGTCGGGTCAACGGGTCGGGTTGTAATTTGCAAGGTCTAGAATAAAGAATAAGGGTGTACCGAACTATTGGGGGGAATCTAAATGGGAGGGAAGTGGAAATTGAGAAATTTTTGGAGGGGAATTTAAATTGGTGGGGGGAGGAAATGGAGAAATATTTGGAGGGAAATCTTAATTGGGGGAGGGGAAAGTAGAGAAATCTAAATTGTACGGGAAAAGTGATGTAGTGAACTTTAATTATACAATTGAGGTTTTGACAACTTATTTATTAATTATCTTAATGTTAGTGAGATTGTTGAGGAGAAATCTAAAATGCTACTATAGTTAATTTAAAGTGAAAGTCATACTTTGATTTCCAAAACATAGATTAAAAAGTGATATTTGCTATACACTAACCATATACCCTAAACCGTATACCCTAATACCCTAACCATATATCATTATGAATTACGATTTTGCTGCTATAGTTAATTTAAAGTGGAATCCAAACTTTGATTTTCAAAACATATATTAAAAATGGATCTTTGTTATTCCCTTAACATATACCATGTATATTATACCCTAACCACGTAACCTATACCCTAATCATATATCCCTATGAGTTGTGATATGCTACTATAGTTAATTTAAAGTGAAATTAAGACTTTGATTTTCAAAACATAGATGAAAAAGGGATCTTTCTTATACTCTAAACATATACCCTAAACCTTATACCATATACACTAATCACGTACCTTATGCCCTAACCATATATTCTTATGAGTTATGATTTTTCTACTAAAATTAATTTAAGGATAAATACAATATATTAGCCCCAACTATTATGAAGCGGGAAATTATAGTCACAACTATGGAAAATCAAATTATTAGCCAAACGTTAACTATCTGTTAACAATTTTGTTAGTAATACTGACTAAAATTTTATGTTATAAAGTTATAAATTAAAAGCATTCCGACGTGGCCGCTGTCGTGGCCTTCTCCATCAAAAATTCAATAACAGTAACGGACAGTTAGCCATATCTTGACCCACAACAATAGTTATGGCTAATAATTTGAATTTTCATAGTTGTGGCTATAATTTCCCGCTTCATAATAATTGTGGCTAATATATTGTATTTACCCTTAATTTAAAGTAAAATTTAGAATTTGATTTTCAAAACATAGATTAAAAAGAGAAGGAAGAAGTTGGGTAGAAATATATATCAAGCAAAAAGAAAATTCGGCGTCATTTTGCAACGGAAAGTGAAATTTAGTAAAATAAGAAGACATGAATTATCTCTATATATATACTTTAAATTAAAATGAAGGGGAAAAGTTTCCCGCCTAAATGAAAATGTGGTGGGGGAATTAGCAAGTGAGATTAAGTTTCCCACATAAATGTAAAATAATATGCATTTGAGATAGAATAACTCATTAAATGTTCTCAAATCTACTCTATCAAATTAGTCATGCGTATAAGACTATAATAAAGTTTGGGACTTTGCTACGGTGACATGCACTTTCCGGTCGACCTCATATAGGATTAGGTCGACCTAATCTGTTGTTTCAGTGTAAAAACAGTTTTATGGTGCCTACTTTGGAATTCATATCTTACATATGGCTAGATGGAAATTGGAGATTAATGGCTTGTTTTGAAGCTGAAGTGTCCCTCTACACATTAAAGTACTTGCGAGCTTGATAGGAAGTCCAGAAGACCATTTTTGAACCTGATCAAAAGGCTATGCCAAAACTGGGAAACTGCCTGAAAATGCTAAGTTTGGGAACGTGTTTGTGAAGCCTACTTTGAAGCTCAATTTGAGAAGCATGGATGCGAGTCGAGTCTAGAGGCCTATACCACGTTAAATAAGGTATGTTTGTCTACAAAGGCAAGGAATTGGATGAAAGATTGGATATCTTTAAGGCTTCAAAAAAAATGCTCGAAGTTGCTATGAAGGCTGTTTTTCTGGCAGCTTGCTTGTGCTCGAATTCTGCCAAAAAAAAGCCTTCGTAGCAACTTCGACCCTTTTGTTTGAAGCCTTACAGATATCCAATCTTTCATCCAATTCCTTAAATTTGTATAAAAACATGCCTAATTTAACGTGGTAGAGGCCCCTGGACTCGACTCGCATTCATGCTTCTCGAATTGAGCTCCAATGTAGGCTTCACAAACATGTTTCCAGACTTAGCCATTTTCAGGCAGTTTTCTAGTTTTGGCATAGCCTTTTGATCAGGTTGAAAAATGGTCTTCTGAACTTCCTATTGAGCTCTCAATCACTTCAATATGTAGAGGAACACTCCAGCTTCAAAACAAGCCATTAATCTTCAATTTCCATCCAGCCAATTGTATGATATGAATCTCCAAAGTAGGAACCATGAAATTGTTTTTACAATGAAACAACAGATTAAATGAGGTCGACCTAATCGTAAATGAGGTCGACCTGATCCTAATGAGGTCGACCTAATTCTAACTGAGGTCGACCGAAAAGTGCAAGTCACCGTGACATGCATGTCACTGTAGGCGCACCCTACAGTTTGCTATAGATAATATTTTAGTCACTAAATCATCATATGTAAACATTGTGATAATCAAATTGATAATTAATTGAACTTCTAAACTATCATATGTAAACATTGTAATAAACTTTCTCTCTTCTTTCTCTTCCGAAAAAATTGAAAATACCAAAATTCACCCCTTATTTTTCTTTTCATAAATAAATAACATTAAAATTTCACACATCTTTCTCTTCCTATAAATCAAAAGCACTAAAAAACTCTTTATTTCTTTTCCCAAACTCGAAGAACCAAACTTTCTTCTTGTTTTTACTCCAAAAAGTTGAAAAGACCAAAATTTCTCACATCTTTCTCACATACTTTATTTGTTTTTAATTATTCTTTCCAACTTTTTTCATTTTTCTCGTATTTATCTATTGCCTTCTTTTTAAATTTATATACTTGCAATTTATTAGGTCCCCGAAATTTAGGTTGTACCTTTTATTAAAAAGAAAAACAAAAGTTTAGGTGTGTATCGGGTGGTGCCGGTTATCTAGAGTTTCCCGATGACCTGATACTCTATTTCAAGGGCGAATTTTTGCCTTGCGTCTATGTTGACTTGTTGGCTCTTTGGTCTGGATTGTCCTAGTAGGGACCTTTGTTTGCTCATTTTGCAGGTGAAGATTCAATTGCACAATAGTCGATCGGTGGCGGCTGTCTTGTCCACTAGGTGGCCTTTTGATGAGATTTGATGGAGCACTTGGAAATGACGCCCATGATGTCGAAGGAACCCCTTGAACACTATTAATATTTAGTTTGATGGTGCGGTCAAGCATAGTCACGAAGGTAGTATTGACTTTGTGGGTTTCCAATCGTCAGGTAATATTTTCTTTGGGCTAAATTACACGTTTGGTCACTCAAATTATATAAATATTTCACGTTTGCCACCCAAATTACTTTTCTTTCTTATCCGCCACCAACTTTACGAATCGTTTCACCGTTAGCCACCGGCCGTTAGCCTCCGTCAGCTCCGTCAGTTTTTTTATGACGTGGCAAACGAAACAGCTGACTAGACCGTTAAGTTAATGACATGTTAATTTTTTAAAAAAAATAGACACAGGAGTGGGCCCACCTTCCCCTTCCCAATCTTCGTCCTTTATCTTTAACTTTACTGGCGTCGAACTTGTCGCCGCTGCAACTAGCATTGGTTTTCTGATCTTAATTGTAATTATTTTCTTTCTTCCCTTTTCATCGCAGCCCCTTCATTTTCATTTGTTGTCTGCCAACCCAAGAAGAACACTCACCCTCAGAGATTTCTCTTCCTTGTAATGTCTCTCTCGACAATCTCCGTCGCTCCTTTCCCCGTGAAAATGAAGATGGGTGAATTGATTTGTGAGAATCCCAGAGACCACGCCACCTAGGAATAATGGATCACGTTTCTAGTCTCACCCTAAGCTTCCCCCTCCAGCTTCTCACTCCTCAAGGTAACCAAAAAATCTGTCTCCAGAAATCAAAGGCTTTTGTTCTTCGCTTTTTCCTTCAATGGCGTTCTATATTCCAGCCGAAACTCAGAGACTGAACTCTCAAGTTTTTGCATTTGGCATTCTGCTTTTTCAGGCGCACTTGGGGCCACATTCACGTTCTCGAACATATGCGATTCCAAGATTAGCCTAGGATTCTGGCCAATGCCGGCAGCCCTAAGCCTGGAAGCACCGGATTCGAGCTTGTGGAAGGCTCAACCCGCTCCTTCCAATCTCCCACGGGCTGGTCGGGGCGGTTCTGGGCTCCAACCGACTGCACATTCCACGGCTCAGGCTCTGGGTCCTGCTGCACCGACGACTGCGGGACGGGTCTCGTCGATTGCAACGGTCTCGGCGCCGCCCACCGCCACACTAGTCGAGTTCACCCTGGGAACCAGCGTTCAAGACTTTTAAGACGGTCAGGGCCCACTCTTCTGCCTATTTTTAATTTTTAATTTTTTAAAAATTAACATGTTATTAACTTAACGGTCTAGTCAGCAGTTCTGTTTGCCACGTCATCAAAAAACTGACGGAGTTAACGGAGGCTGACGGTCGGTGACTATAGTGAAACGTTTCATAAAGTTAGTGGCGAATAAGAAAGAAAAGTAATTTGGGTGGCAAATGTGAAATATTTATGTAATTTGAGTGACCAAACGTGTAATTTAACCATTTTCTTTGCTTTCGAAAAGTGTTATGAAGGATTACAAGATCCATTTGTTATACTGGAGGCCATACAGTGGTGCCTGACACATTCCTTTGTCCCTGTTAAATTTCATGGGGATTCACAACAATTGATATGGCGGGATGGTGGGAGGCGACTTGGCGCATGATCGGAGTGGAGCTCTATTCGATGATACTCGGAGCTTAGCTTCTCACTTCAGTCAGATTTCTTACTGCTTTGTTTCTCGTCGACTAACTAGGGCTGCCCATCATGTTGCACAAAAGGCCCTCTCATCGGGAGTTCGACTATTGGTCGACTCCCGCGTTTTTCTTTCTTTCTCCTTGTGACTATCTTTTCAACACTGACTTTGCGGGGGAAAACTCTCCCTCCTTTTCCCTCCAAAAGAAACACCAAATTTCCCTCTTCTTCCCCCCCCCCCCCCCCACCCCCCACCCACTTAAAAAAAAAAAGTTGGAAACACAATAATTTTACACTTTTTTCTCTTCCTATAAACCAAATCACCAAAACTTCCCCTTCTTTCTTTTCCAAAAAATCCAGACACCAGATTTCTCTCTTCTTTTTAATCCAAAAAATTAAGAAAACAAAATTTTCCACTTTGTTCTTTTTCCAGAAATCAAAAGCACCAAAACTTTCCCTTCTTTCTTTTATTAAAAATACATAATTTCAACTCAATTTAATTTTTTGAACTTTCCTTTATAAAATGAAAAAATAGTTTTACTTAGACTTACAACAAACAAACTTCATTTTCAAAGACTACATAATATATAATATAATAATTATTTGGGTCAATCGAGCGGGCTACCGGTTAGTCGGGTTCGGGTCAATCAGGTTACGGGTTTAATCAAGTTACGGGTCAATCGGGTTCGGGTTAATCAGGTTACGTATTAGTCGGGTTACGGGTTAATCGAGTCACGGGTGAATCGAGTTGAGGGTCATTGACTTTTATTCAGTTCAGGTTGCGGTCGGGTTGCGTGTGAGGTTAGTAGGGCGGGTTAGTCAGGGCGGGTTCTATTTTGACACATCTACTCTATAGCGACATCATTATAGTTAGTCCCCACTAGGATGAAACATCTGTAAATGAAATAGGGGCAGTTTATTTGCTCGACTTCAAAAAATCCACTAATTTGAAGTCCTGAGCTCAAATCCATACTCCTTCCGATGAACTTCAATGTCGGAATGGAAAATTTTGAAACCGAACCAGTAAGTGTAATTGTTGACATGGGTAAGATTGTAGACATACAACAACACAAGGGTTTTTGCGCTATTCAAATTCTCCTTCTCGGAGCCCGAGATGGTTTCAGACCCCATTCGTGCTGCACCAGCCGCTGGCGAGGAGAAGCCGGGACCAGTTGCCGGCGAGATTGAGGGGTTGGGCTCGGGCGGGCATTTATCGGTAGGGGAGACTTCACAGGAGGCTTCATGGGAGTCGACCGTCGGGGGCTTGAGGGAGACCGAAGGGGCGTGAGTGGAGGGGATTAGTTTAAGGATTAGATTTATTTTTTAATTGAGTTGGGACAGAAATAAATAAAATGAAATTAGCAGTAAATGAGGGGCAACTAGGTCTTTTCCCAGCAATTAAACGATTGTTTAACAGATAAATGGACGTAAGGATATATTTTTTACGGTTTAATATTAGAAGGGTGTGTTTGTGTAAAAATTTAATAGAGGTCTACATTTGTTAATTTTCAATAATTGAGGGGTACAACATGCTATTGACCCTTTTAATATTTAAATAATTTGATTATTAAAAATAACTAACATACCGTTCGGCATAAATGAATTAAATAAATTTTGAGAAATTCATTTTGAAATGAAAACTTTTAGTGTTTGGTATTTAAAAGAATTTTTTTGAATTCTAATTTTTGAATTTGGTTAATGACTAAAGACACCCCTCTACTTTGGTGTTTTTAACAAACACACTCCTCTACTATCATGATTAACAAACACACTCCTGTACAATTTCGTAGCTAACAAACACACCCTTCTGTCCTTTTTTCCGTCTTCTATCCATTAGGTGCGGGCCCCACCCTCCTAGTCAGCAAACTTCCCGTTACCAGGTTACTATTTTACCCTTTCCATAATATTTTGGAGACTTAATTAACTTAATTAATCCTCCCCAAATCTCGTTTTCACCTTCCTAGTCAAATCCTTCCCAAATCTCGTTCGACGAAGTAAGGGTAAGGTAGTTCGCCTTCTGCAATCCGCTCGAATCGACAAAGGACGACGACTTCTATAACCCATTTTGGCGCCCCGCCGCTCATCGTGACGAACAACGGCGAAGACAAGCTTATTAATAGGGTTGGAGGCTTTTTTAGTTATCTATTAGGTACTAGCTTATTACCCGGCCCGTTGGCCGGATTACTGTATGTTACCCACTTGTGGAATGGGAGAGAAAGCAAGTGAGAGTGAAGGGATTGGGATTCCACTTGTTAGGACCGACCCACTAATCTGATTCTTCCCGACCCGCCCCAACCTAAAGGGTCAGAAAGAGTCAATAAGAAAATACGAACGAAGAGGATTAGTCATATATCTTGACTCTTCAGAAGTGGGTCAAACAGGATCAAGGTTGGGTGAGGGCAATTTTTAGCGCTAAGCAGAGTTCTGGGTTGAATAACTTTACTTAGGCCTAGAAATTGGTGCTGATGCAGAGTGCAGTTGTTATTATACCATCATCAATCATCATTGAATTAGTCCTGGGCATTCCACCCCGTTGTCGGTCTGAATTCTAATGATGGCTTCATTCCTTGCACCAGCCATATCAGCGAGTTGTCATCTCGAGCATGATTTGCCTATGTACAAATGATACAATAAGAGTATGAAAATAAATTCAAAGAAAAGGAAAAGAGAATTCTATCACATGCCAATAAATACACACATAATAGTTGAAGCTAAGTGAAAGTCATTACTCGCACATCAATTCTCAAAAATTACAGACTAAACAATGGCTAGAATGGAACTGAAACTACCAAGAATCAAGGACGAAACAACTTGTCAAATTAAATAATCCTTATATTGAAACTACCTTCTAACTTGAAATAAGACATGATCACAGTTCATAGCACTCTTATCACTATGAATTGGTTGCAGCTCGTCCTTATCACTGCCTCCCAAGCTCAACTCAAACAGAATAGAGACAGTTATGTAAGATAACCATATCCTTACTGATCATAATTCCTTTCTTCACTCCATTTTTGTCGGAGAAAAGAGTTATCCCCCTCTCATGCATTTCCCTTTCCCCCTCTCTTCTCCCTCTTCTTCACAAACCGATCCCTAAACCAGCAACAACAACACAAAAATAGCCTTCGCCTCTGCCATCTCCATCTACTGAACGCATTGGTGGCAAGACAGGACTGCAAAAGCAAAATTTTCTAAAATCAAACTAAATTTTTTGAAGGAGACTCAATCACGAAAAAAGAGTAAAGCAACAATGCTAATAGTTCAGATGGTTGGTTTTGATGTTATACGTTGCTTTTGTTATGGTCTCCAGTATATCAACTGCAACAGAGATGTTTCCTCCAATCATCTTTAGTGCACGATTTAGAAGTAAGTCCTCTTGTTTGTCTCAAACGGAAACAATCATGGGTTCTTAACTCCCCTGTTAGTGTAAATGCAGAAGCAACAGCAAAGAAGTTTGACAACACAGCAAGCACCCAGGCAAAATGATACAATGCAGTAGGTGATATGTGTCTCGAAGGTTTTTAGTTACTAAAGTTCATGTTAAAAATAAACATGAATTAAAATGGATTATTCTATTAAGCAAACATCCCCTCTAATCATATAAAGATCAGATATCCAATTCACAAACAATTAAGCCATAAAAAATCATCACACATCCACCACCTTTGATTGCCTAAATTTGGTTTTTCGCAAAGTTATGGACTCTTAAGAGTAATGTTCATGGGTAGTCAGTTTCATAACTCTAGAGAGCACAGTAAGCAGCCACGAGCCAGACATAGTGCGGTAGGCGAATATGATTCTCAATTCACAATTTCTCACCATCGGAAGTAAGAACAGACCATAATAAGCGTAGCGTTCATGGGTGGTCTGTTTCATAGCACTACTACACAATTTGTTAAAAAGGAAAGAAAGGTATTTAGCATCACGGCGGAACAACTTTTACATGCCAACAACGACAACATGCTGCAACCACCAGAACTGGTATCACAACTCATAGGGAAAATCAAAAGATTTACTCTCAAATTAAGTAGTTACAACATCGAGCAATCGTCAAGCACATATACCATCACAAAAGTCACGGAACCTGATTCACAAAGCATTCAAACATTTGAGGACATTTCTGCAAAGGTACAACTTATATGTCTTTTTTCCAAGCCATTTTCATCAACATGCTAATAAATTTGCAATGCATAAAAAAAACGGGTCAAAACTTGAAATTCAGCCTGTTTGACCGACCCATGCCAAATTCTAATTATTCTTTACTTTTAAACTTTCTATTTGAAAATAAAAAATAGTGAAAGAAAAGAGACGACTACAATTCGCCATTTGCACATCACTTATTCGGGAATAAAACCATAGAAATTCAAAAGGAACTGAAAATGTTTAGGATCGTTTTAATGTTTAAAATAACCAAATAGATCTTTATGTTTAGTTTTTTACTAACAAATACCAAACGATTCCCTATAAAATGCAATATAAATTGATCATTATGATGTCAAATAATTATAAAATATATATTTGAAATGATAAAAATTGGACTAATTGGGTTGGTCGAGGTTGAACCATTGAATAACTTTAAAATACATTATATTTTAGCCACTAAGATATAAAATAATAGCATAATACATATTATGCCAGAGAAAATAGCTTGTTTTAGAATGGCAAACCAATGATGTTCATTTGTTTTACTTGATGGCCAAATCCCATGTAGGTCAGACCCATTCAACTCTTTTATTTTATGGTTAGCGGTTAGCCCATTAGATACCATGGATTAGTTTATTGTTAAATTTTTTATTTTTAACAATAAAAAGGAGTATTATTTTTTTCTTTTCATATATATTTTAACACCATGGAGAAATAAAAGGGTATAAAGAAAAAAATTGACACTCCTGGACCTGTTTAAATCCGCATGTGTACGGTAAGTTGGCCCGTTCCACAGAGGAAAGAGAAAAAAATTGACACTCCCTATTCTACCCTTCCTACAAACGCTCCTGGAGCAGGGAATTTGAAATGAGGGAAGAGTTTTTTCCACCCTGCTATTATTTGTTTTTAATTTAAAAGGAAACAATAGATGTACTTAGTGTGATTGGTTATGATCATTGCCTTTCTTTAAAATGGTCATGGTTTGAATCCTAGCACGTATCTTTTTAATGAATAAAAAAAAGTAATTGTGAAGACCAAAATGTCCTTTCTATTTTCACTCTTGTTGTAGGAAATTTGAAATGGGGCTCCCGTTTTTCCCTTCGGCGTATTATAAGTATAGTAGATTTAACGCAACTGAAAAGAAGCAGCCAAACTAGTTTTAGAAATAGTTTTTCTTAATTTATTTTTTCGGTCACTTGTTCATTTTTTAATGGAAGAAGTTGTTGTTGATTAAACGTCCAGTGACTTTTTGCATTTACTTATTTTTTATTCATTTTATCAAGCTGCAGGTTTTAATTCAACCAACAACGTAACGATGGTAACCTTGTTATACCACATTGGGGGTAAGCGTGTAATTGGTGACGGTGACTGCAAATATGAAGGAGGGGAGTTGATTCAAGCAGGGCATATTGACCCAGATGAAATCAACCTTATGGATCTAACGATTGTTTTACATCAAGAAGGGAACCACAACAACAATTTCAAGCTATATTATAAGGAACAAGATGAAAGTGGAGTAGATGGGTTTGTTCTGACTGTGAATGACGATAGCATAAGGTCATTGTTGCATTCGTATGATGGTAAGGAAGTATATGATATATATATGCTGAAGTGGAAGATAAGGCTGCACCAAAGGTGACGGGACCAAGAGTTGAAGAACATAATGAAGACCTTGAAACGCCTCACTCAGATGACGATGAAGATAGGATGTTTGGCGATGTCACTGGAATCAGTGATGACGAGCTTGAAGAGGTGGAAGAGATTAGGAAGAATGTTAAGGAGGTGAAAGAAAGGTTAAAGAAGGGTATCTCGCTGACCTACTTAGATAAACAGTTCGATCCTGATAATGAGCAACCTATCTACACAAAGATCATGGCAATGACGATGGAAGCGAAGAAGGATTCAGATCGGATGAGATGGGTTCATATGATGATACAAATAATTAAGATGATGTTACTGATAGGGGTCTGAGGAGAAAGAGTAGGCTAACATCCTTCAACACAGCCACACACACACCTTATTTCGAGCTAGGAATGACCTTTGTGGCGATGGACGAGGTTCGGAAAGCTATCACAAATCATTCTATTAAGGAGAAAAAAGATGTAAAGTTGAAGCAGAATGATACAAAGCGCATCAGAGAAGTTTGTAAGTGGAATGGTTGCCGATGGACACTGTTAGTTTCATGGGACAAGGCTTTTGAAAGGTTTAGAGTCAAAACCTATAAGGCCCACACTTGTCCACAACACTATCACAATAAGAGGGTGGGTCCAACGTTTGTGGCTGAAAAGTATATGAGGCGGATCTGAAGCGATCCAAAATGGAAGTTACACGATATGATGGAGACGATCAAGGAGGAAATTAAACATGTTTTTCTGTCAATCATATGGCTTGCTGGCGGGCAAAAGCTGCGGTCCTGAAGAAAACTGATGGTTGTTACAAGGATGAATATGGTCTTTTAAGAACATATGCTGAAGAGATACTTCACCGGAATCTTGATTCAAATGTAAAGATCATGGTTGACACTAGTAACCCAGAACAGAAGCCATTATTTCAAAGAATGTATGTCTGTTTTGGTGGCTTGAAGAAGAGGTTTGTTTCAGGGTGCCGCAAAATACCTGGGTTAGATGGATGCTTTCTGAAAGGTCTTTGCAAAGGTGAGTTATTAGCAGCTGTAGGAAGAGACGGGAATGACCAAATGTACCGCGTAGCTTGGGCTGTTGTCGAAGTTGAATCAAGAAGTTCGTGGGATTGGTTCTTGACCGAGTTGAGCAATGACCTTGGCATAGGAAATGGAGATGGATGGACATTCTGTTCTGACCAAATAAAGGTAACATGAACCTACAGTCTGTAATGACAATGTTAGTTTTTGTTTATACGAGTTGAAGTTGATTTATTACCCCATATGTTGTAGGGTTTGGTCCCTGCCATTGCGAAAATGTTCCCAGAAGCAGCTCACAGACTATGTGCAAGACATATATTTTGCAACTGGAGGAAGAAATTTAGAAAGCAAGAGTGGCACAAGATCTTCTAGGAGAGTGCAAAGTCCGCTACTTTGATGTATTTCAATCGTGAACTTGAAAAATTGAAGGTGTGTAATTCTAAAGTTGTTGCTGCAATGGTGAGAGTTGATCCAAAGCATTGGTGTCGTGATTTCTTTTCCATGGAGGCGAAGTGTGATTCGGTTACTAACAACATGTCTAAGTCATACAACGCAAGCATACTCGAGGATAGGCACAGGCCGATCTATAGCATGTTGGATGGCATGCGTGTAGCTATAATGGACCGAATGGCACAACGGAAGGCCATGGCGTTGAAGTGGGATAAGGAATTCTGCCCAAGGATTTTGAAGAAGCTCGATACAATGGTAAGGGAAAGTTGTTTCTGTCACATCATAGGAAATGGGAAGGGCGGGTATGAGGTCCGACACAAGGATGAGAGATTTGTGGTAAGAATCAATGAGAAAACATGTTCTTGTCAAGCATGGGAGCTGTCAGGTATTCCATGCCCACACGCCATTAGTTGTATTCTATCTGAGGGTAAAGATCCACAGAGATACATTGCTGAATGTTTTACAGTGGCTAAGTTTAGGAGCACATACGATACGAACATGTGTTATATCCAATGTCAGGTCCCACAGCTTGGGTTAGAAGTGAGTATGAGGCTGTATTACCCCCTCCAGTTAGGAAGATGCCTGGGATTTGTATTTTCACTATTCATGCAGGATGCAAAAGCTTCAGTTGTTACATGATAGTCTCGAGTAAGAATCCTTATCTAACAAGCTTATTTTGTTTCTTTGCTAATGTAGTCTCTTTCTAGTGTTGCTGCACTTTCTTTTTGCTTCTTCTGAATTTTTTGTTGTTGCTGCTGCTATGCTATAATGCTGCATTTCTGCTGTTCTGCTGCTCCGTTTTTGCTATCATGTTGGCTCCTATGTTATGCTGCAGTTATGTTAACCTGCTGCTGTCTTTTTGCTATTCTGCTGCTGCATTTCTGTTGTTTTGCTACTGCAATTTTGCTGTCATGCCGCTGCAATTTTGATGTTATGCTGCTGCAATTTTGTTGTCCTGCAGCATGATTATGAGCAAGACACTTTTGGGACTCAAGCAAGTTGCACTACCCACCTTGAGGGACCATCGACTTAATGACATGGCTTTTATTGAAGGGCATATTTTGGATTAGTAATCATAGTAGAAACTCATGTACTAGGAACATGTTTTTACCCTTTGGATTATGAGTTGAGGAAGGCTATAGTATTATACTATGTTATGGTGACAGTGATGGATGATGGCTTGAGAACCCTTTTGGATTGTTATATATAAAAAATGACATTTATGTCGACAATGGACTTAGTTATCTCAAACTGGTGTAATGGTGAAATGTAAGCTTGAGATTAACAAGCCGTTGTTGCAATCTTCCACTGCCGCTGCTGCCAACTCTTTGTGGTGCTTCACAAGCCGTCGTTGTTCGTCATGATGAGCGGCGAGGCGCCATAATGGGTTGCAGAAGCCGTCGTCCTTTGTCGATTCGAGCGGATTGCAGAAGACGAACGACCTTACCCTTACTTCATCGAACGAGATTTGGGAAGGATTTGACTAGGAAGGTGAAAACGAGATTTGGGGAGGATTAATTAAGTTAATTAAGTCTCCAAAATATTATGGAAAGGGTAAAATAGTAACCTGGTAACGGGAAGTTTGCTGACTAGGAGGATGGGGCCCGCACCTAACGGATAGAAGATGGAAAAAAGACAGAAGGGTGTGTGTGTTAGCTACGAAATTGTACAAGACACAACATCGGGAGACTTCGTCCCCGTCACTCAGGCATGCCTCCGGGAACACACAAACGGCGCCGATGGGAATCGAACTCAGGACCTCTCACATCCTGAGTCAACCAGACCAACGGTTTAACCGCTAGGCTATATTACCTTTGGCTTTTACAGGAGTGTGTTTGTTAACCATGATAGTAGAGGAGTGTGTTTGTTAAAAACACCAAAGTAGAGGGGTGTCTTTAGTCATTAACCCTTTTGAATTCTACGGAATTGAGACTAGTTATAGCAATTTCAATGAATTGAGATGGAATTTTCAAATGAATTCCACAAGTATTTACTAATTATAAAAAGGGTTAATACCTTAGTTTGGCCCGAACTATACACAAACTTTCTACTTTGGCCCGTGGTTTCCGAAATTGCTATCCTGGCCTGAACTATGCACCATACTTCCTAACTTGGCCTGGAGCCGGGTTTGACCGTCAAATTGGACGGTCAACTCTGTTGACCGTTAGTCAATGGTCATCTCACTTGCCACGTAAGCAAATATGGAATAAAAAATATTTTTTTTTGTTTCTGTATTCATTTTCTTTTCTAATAATAATAATAATAATAAATGGAAAAAAATTAAAAAACCCAATTTATCTCCTACCTGTCTCACCTCGGGACTTCTTTTCCCAAACCCACTTCTTGCTCTAGACCCAAATCGATCCTCCTTCCCCTTCTCCTCCGCCGCTGACAACCCTCCCCCGCCTCTTCTCTAACGCTTCCACCTCTCTCTGCCGGCGGCATCCAATCGCTTGCTGAGCTCGAAAATCCAATTATCCTTAGAATCACAAATAACAACCCCAAAGCCCGCCACTGTTACCTTATTGTCCCTCACTCGCTCCTTGCTCTGCAAACCCTTGAAATACAGCCATAAAGTCTCCGCTCTCACCCACGCCAGCTCAGCCGACACCTTCAAAGAAGACGAGGCACCAGAGGAGGACTCGTCGTCGCTGTCGTACGGCTTCTCATAGTTGTCGCCATACTTGTCCCACTGATCGGCCGGGATGTCGAAGATTTCACTGGCGAAGTTCTTATCGAAAATCAGACGGTCGAGGTCCGTCTTCATCTCCTGCATGAAATACTCGCTCGCTTCCCGGTCCATCCACTCCTGATTCAGCCGCTCAATGTCGTCGAGGAGGAGGGACACGTAGTCGAACTCCGACTCTGCAAGAGGAGCGGAAGGAGGCGGCGGCGGCGGGGAGAGCGAAGAGGAGGAGGATGGAAGGTGTCGCCAGGTGATAGCCTCCTGCATTTGGAGGAGATGCGGGGGAGGGTTGTTGGCGGCGGAGAAGGGGGAGGAGTGGGTTTCGGGGAAATTGAGGGTTTTCTCAATTGAGGTGAGAGGGGAGGGGATAAGTTGTTTTTTTATTATTATTATTATTAGAAAATAAAATGAATAAAGAAACGAAAAATAATTTTTTTTTATTTCATGCCTGCTGACGTGGCAAGTGAGTTGCCCATTGACTAACGGTCAATGGAGTTGACCGTCAAATTTGACGGTCAAACTCAGCTCCAGGCCAAGTTAGGAAGTTTGGTGCATAGTTCAGGCCAGGATAGCAATTTCGGAAACCACGGGCCAAAGTAGAAAGTTTGTGTATAGTTCGGGCCAAACTAAGGTATTAACCCTTATAAAAATGACATAATTCTCCTCATTTATTAACTAAATTACTTCTACATATTTTATTTGAAGCCAACTCATACAGTATAAGGAACGTCGGATAAGAATTCGATTGCAATGCTAGTAGCATATGTTGGTTATATGATATTTCTGCTTCGATTGTATCAGCATGTTGAGAAGCCACAACTAGAGTGTATGGTTCATCAAAAAATATTAGAAAAGAACTAATGAATAGAATAGAAACACACAAGAACACTTTTGATATTCTACTTATGGGACCAAAGACTTTTTTTTGAAGATGGATTTCAATAAATATTGTTTCTTCCGGAAATTAATAAGGGTGTAGTTGGAAACTTTTAGTTTAATTCAATTCTAAACGTATGACAAACATGGTTTGATAATTCAATTCATTTTATTTCTAAAGATTTGAATATGACATACCAAACACAGGAATTCATTTGAAAATGAATTCTACACGATAATTCATTTTAAAATGAAATGAATTCTTGATTCATTTGATACCAAACAGTCTGTAAATTAAAATTATGAGATAATGAGTGGTGATTGGGTCATATTATAGCTCATTAAACGGCTATTTAATAGAAACTTAGACGGAATGGTATAGTTGTTACGTTTTGATACTAAAATGGTATGTACGTTAAAGAAATAATAGTAGATGGGTATGATATGTAAATCTAGATAATAAATAAAAGCCGAATGATGAAAACTGTTGCTCCATTTTAAATTTCCTGCAACGAGAGTGATTATAGGAAGGATATTTTGGTCTTCACAATTGCTTATTTTCTTATTTATTTATTCATAAAAACGGCATGCACTGGGATTTGAACCTTGGTCTCTTTAAAGGCAAGCAAGGATCATAACCAATCACACTAAGTATATTTGTTGTATCTATTTAAATTCAAACATACACGAACCTAAATTATGAAAATCATATGACTTTTGTAACGATTAGTTGGCCACTGAATCTCCCGTAAGTGCTTATTTGGTGTTTTAATACTTTGATTATTTTAGTTGTAGTTTAATACTTAATTTAAATTTCTATCTATTTTATAAATATACAATAACCCTAAAATTGCAGCCCAAATATCACTGGTTCGAATATTGCATATCGAATTGCAATATTAAACATGTAGAAGCAATATCGACTTCTTAAATTAATATTATTTTTCAGAATTACTATGGAGAAATTATATCTTTGTGCAAACTATATGAGACTGGTTCTTTTAATGTTTTAGTCGGGATAACCGCTACATTTTAAACTTCTTCATAATCTGGCATGATTGGATCCAATGATCATTATACAAGATTGTGTTTAATAGGGTGGCTCATTTCACCACTTTTTGGCGTGTTAATGAATTTGTAGGACAATGACAGGTCTACATCTACACTCATCACAATCTACACATCATATAAATGTGAAATGTGAAATGAGAAAAGAGGGATTCCATTTCAAATTTGATGCGTACAGAGCAATTTTTTAGGGGTAAATTTAGAAGATGCCATTGCGGTCGGTCTGTTGAGCACGAAAGTAAAAATATGTTTTCATTTAAACGGGCCCAAACTGTTATTTGGCCCACTAATCGTGCACCCATCGCCAATGCAGTCAAATTCGGGATTTTGATCGTAAAATCGTAGGATTTTAGGATTTTACTTAGGGATTCCGATCTTGATTTTACTATAAAATCGGTGGACCTTAAAATCATTTAAAATCGGGACTAAAATCGTTAAAATCGTAAAATAGTACCGAAATCGGGATTTTGATCGTAAGAGAACAAAATAGGTGGTTTGAGCCAATTTAAAATAAGTATAACTGTTTCAGCGGAAAGGGCAATGGAATCTTCTCAGATATTTTTCTATTAGAAAATATTCAAAAATAATAAAAATAACCAAATTAGGGTCCGGTTAATCTCTTTCCCTTCACCCCATTTAACTTATTGGTAAAACACCTGTCCTAATATTGAAAGTATGTAAGAACTAACATCATTATTAACTAATTAATTTATTAATGAATATATTTGTACCAAGCCACTAACATTACTTATTTTATTGGAGTTCAATTATTTTTAGTTTTAAATCATACTTGGTAGACGATGTCGAAATATTACTTTGAGTTAAACAACCTAGACATAACATGAAAATAAGAGTCAAACCCATGAACTATATCCCTTCATCATGAATTATTTTGAGTTACACATTAAATAACAATTAAAATAGTGATTTTGGAACATTAATCTTGAGAATTATCTTATGGAAAAAAATCTTCTGAATTATCATTTTAAATGCTATGTGTCTTTGTGATATTAATAATTTACCTTATTAATATTCTTATATGCTATGTTCTATATGGTACTTAAAATCCTACGATTTTACGATTCGATTATACGATTTTGATTTTACCCCAGTTTTCGATTTTAGGTAAAATCTCGATTTTAACTGCTTTACCCATCGCAGCCTCTCCAAATCTTCCTATTCTACTCGCCGGGTCATCTCCTCCACTACAAAATATCTCCTCATGTACTCAAAGTTCTCACTGAAACCTAATATCTACAACTTAGGCGCAGAGGGAGCAACCGATGGATTGTAGGGACCCCACTATTTTGATAGCTAATCAAGAAGAGCGCGTTTGTTTAGTTGTATGGTCATTCACTTAATTAACAATTTTTATTCCGTTGACAGCCTCCTCTCCGCAATTGTATTGTGTTCACGAAGATCTGAAGGCGCAAGTGCAACAGGTCCAGGGGTAAACAATATGTATAAAGCGTTGGCCAAATTGAATTGAGTCATTCTACTTGGAATATGAAGAT